ACTCTTCGGACGTTCCCACTTCATTACAGCCTCGATCTTGGCGGGGTCAACCATTATTCCTTCTTGGTTAACAACATGACCCAAGAATTGGACTTCCCGTATCCAAAAGTCGCATTTGGAGAACTTTGCAAAAAGCTTCTCCTTCTTTAACACCTCCAACACTTCTCGTAGATGCTTGCCATGCTCCTCCTGGCTTTTCGAGTAGATGAGAATGTCGTCGATGAACACTATCACAAATTTATCGAGGAATGGTTTACAAACCCTATTCATCAAATCCATGAATGCTGCGGGAGCATTGGTTAGTCCGAATGACATAACCAAGAACTCGTAGTGTCCATATCTTGTTCTGAATGCAGTCTTCTCAATATCCTGCTCTCTCACCTTCAGCTGATGATATCCTGACCTAAGATCGATCTTTGAGAAGTAGCTCGAACCTTGCAGCTGATCGAATAGGTCATCAATCCTCGGCAATGGATACTTGTTCTTCACCGTTGCCTTATTCAGCTCTCGGTAGTCTATGCACATCCTCATGCTTCCGTCCTTCTTCTTCACGAATAACACCGGAGCTCCCCAGGGTGATGAACTAGGTCGAATATGAATCCGCTGTCCAACACTCCTGAAGTTGTGTCATGAGCTCCTTCATCTCCGTCGGTGCTAATCGGTAAGGTGCTTTGCTATCGGTGTTGTTCCTGGTAACAAGTCTATACGAAACTCCACTTGTCTATCAGGTGGTAATCCGGGAAGATCTTCGGGAAAGACTTCCGGATAATCGCACACAACCGGTATATTCTGCACCTCTTTCTTTTCTTTCTTAGCATCGATTACGAATGCCAAGTATGATGCACATCCTTTGGACAAACATTTCCTGGCTTTCATCAGGGAGATGATTCCAGAAGTTACTCTGCGTTTGTCCCCGTACACCATAAATGATTCCTTTCCGGGTGGGTTTATCCTAACTATCTTCTTTCGGCATAATATCTCGGCATCGTTGGCGCTAAGCCAATCCATACCCAAAACGATGTCGAAACCGTTTAACTCTATGGGTAATAGTTCCTCATGGAATTCGTTTTCCGTTTAGGTCAATGACGATGTTCCTAATACGATTACTAACAGGTACGAATTTGCCACTGGCAACTTCTACAATCAGGGCATTATCTAGTTTTTCTACAGGCAATGCTAATCTTCCACCAAATTTATGCGACACAAAGGAGTAATTGGCTCCGGAATCAAATAGTATATTTGCAGGCAAACCATTTACAAGAAAGGTACCTGAAGCGACATCTGCTGCCTCCTTCGCAGCCTCGAGCGTCATCTGAAAGGCTCTCGCCTTTGGCTTTGGTGGTATATTGGGCCTTCCCGCATCTTTCTTCCCTTGGGCAATCCTTAGCAATATGCCCTTCTTCACGACACTCGTAACACACCTTCTTGTTGGTGGTGCACTCATTGGCATAGTGCCCTGTTTTCCCACACTTGTAGCAGGTTACTTCATCGCCACATTTTCCCGAGTGCTTCTTCTTGCACTTCTCGCACCATTTAAATTCGTTTCCTCCCCCGATTTTTTTTGAACCGAACTTGCTCTTCTTTTTGTTGGGTTTAGCAGACCCTTCAAATTTCCTCTTCTCGCCAACCTCGATTTTGCTGGCAGCTCTTCCCTTAATCATGTCCTCCACAGACTTGGCAGCCCAGATAGCTGCCTCCAAAGTAGGTGCCTGACGTACTGGCACCGCGTACTCCCATGGAAGTCCCTTTGCGTACTTATCAATTTTCGTCAGCTCATCCGAACAAGACGCAAGGCAAACTCCATCTTTTCTGTGAAGTTGTTCGTGTATTCATCGATTGACATGCTTCCCTTCTTCAGGGTTAGAAACTGGTTCTCTAACTCTAGCAGGTTTTGAGCCGAGCAGTATTTTCGTTTGAATTGCACCAGAAATTCTGCCCATGTCAGTTGCAGGGGCTTGTTGGGGCTTAAAGTCTTCCCCAAGGTATTCCACCAACGTACAGCGCCTCCTCGAAACTGACGTACTGCAAACGTGGTCTGTAGCTTTCCTCTGCAACCGCACGTCATGAAAGCTAACTCCATCTCCGAGATCCAATCCATGACCCCGATTGGATCTTCCTTTCCGTGAAAGTCGATGGCTTGCAAGTCAGAAAATCCTTGTACTTGCATCCATTCCTCTCGACTTCGTCACCTGGTTGTTTTGTTGAACTATTGGTGGGTTGGCTTGACCAACAGTCCCACTGTAGTTTCCCTCCTCAATCTGCCCTTCGTTTCACTCGGGCTGTTCGATCTGAATAGTTGCTTCCTCTCGATTTTGTTGGAGCAAGAGTCTGGTTTCCTCCATTTGACAATCCAACATTGCCTGGATCATCGTTTGAACTCCGGCCATTGTTATTGGCTCAACAGCGGCTACTACAACTGGTATTTGTTCGATTACTGGGGGTTGGTTTATGTTCCCATTTGCATTCACGTTTCCGCTACGGGTCCTTGCCATCTTGATCTATTCACCGAATAAGGTGAATTTAGATCTTTATTTAGGACTGATGTTCAAATCATCTTTATCTCTCCGAAACGTTTACATGCTAGTTCTAATATCGTACTCGTACATTTAGAATCCTAAACACATAAGGTTTCCAGATCCGGTCGGCAACAGACCATAGATCCGAACAATTAACAGCATATCAGGCACAAAGCATTTAGCACATAAAAGCATTTTAGGCATAATTCCTAAAATAAGCTAGTGCTCACACCTCACAATCATCGCTTAGCATTCTAAGTTTAAGTCTAGAAATCCTACAAATTCCTAGTTCGCTTAAACTAATGCTCTGATACCAACTGTGACATCCCCAAAATCACGGCCAGAAAAGACCGGTTTTGTTTATACTTTATTTCAAAATCAGAGTTATCTTTTAATAAAAGGTTGCGGAATTTGTCCCAAAACAATAATATGATAAAGATTTATCAAAAGCATTTCCATAGAAATGTATTTCATTAAAAGACTCGGGATGTCATGTTCGTACAGATCAAAAGTATAAACAGTACATATAAGCCTTACTACATTATTTCATATCTACAGGCCTATATCCGTAATCCCTCGTCCAAACATCACACCTATGCTCATGCGCCACTACCTGTAATACATAAAACTGAGTGGGTCAGGCTTGGGAGCCTGGTGAGCACATAGGGTTTTCAACCCACAATAAATAAGTTTATTAATTTCATCAACCAACAATAACCCGATTACCCGTTCCCGTTATCCTCACTTTACGTCCCTAAACACCTATCATAAGGGACCTAGCCTAAGGATCATCATCGGGACGGACACTACTGCTAAGGGGATTCCTCAGCAATAAATGTCCTAATAGGCAACCATGTGGGGGATGGAGTACATCTGGTGAGCACACAGTTCAAATAAACACACAGTTCAAATAAACACCTACAGGTTGCGAGCCTGCTAGTGTTCCACTGGACTGTCTAGAATAGTCCGTGGTCGTCATCTATACTCCGCTAGATGACTGGATCATCAATAACATCTATAACGAGGCCTCTCATTATTTTATTTTGTCACACAACAACTATTACATCTACCCATGTTTTACCCAACACATTTTGTAGATATAAAATACATATACAGTTTAAATCTTTGAAAACATGTATAAAACGTTCATCCAGCATAGATAGCAAGTATTCAGATAATATGCACACATAGCACGTAATTTATATTAAATACTTCATATCTATGTGTAAGCTGAAAGTAACTATGCACTCACCTGAAAAGGTGGTGATTCCGAACTCAGACAGCGCTTCGCTTCTTAAAAAGAATTTTCTTCGACGAAACCTAGTATTATTACCACTAGAGTTTAGTTTATTATTCGTCGAGACTAATTAATAGTCTAGCTATTATTATTATTATATAAGCGTCAAAAAATACTTATATAACCCATAATAATAGCCCAAGTATTTATTATAAGTTCCTAATAACGTTACTATAATTAAATAAAAGCTATATTAAAAATAGCGTAGGCGTAGCTCACTTACAGCGGGTTTTATAGAAAACCGGGCTTTGCTTGGAGCAGCGTTCCCGAGCCGAAAAGCTCTTCTTCTCGGAGCCTTCGAGCACTCCGGGGCTTCCGCCTCGTGCTAGGGAGGTTCCCTAGGCTTTTCGGGGGATTTCAGGGCTAGAGAGAGGTTCTAGAGAGAGAGAGAGAGAGAGAGAGAGAGAGAGTAAAGAGAAAAAAGAATGAGAAAGGTGTGAAGAAAATGAGGGTGGGAGAGGTGGTATTTATAGGGTGAAATGTGGCTGAACTTGGTGCCACATGTCACCATCTGGTGGCAAGCCTTGGGGAGAAAGCAATGGCCAAGATTGTGCCACATCACCCATTTTCGCACAGCACACTTCCGACTTCTAAAATCCGTAACTTTCACATACGATCTCCGTTTTTGACGTTCTTTATATCCATGCGTAGGTAATAATAAGATCTACAACTTTCATTTTGACACCGTCAGCTAATTCTCGACCGATCTTAAATTTAACAGTACAAGGAGATTATACTGTTAAACGTCTGCGTAAAATTAATAACTTCTACATACGGACTCTGTTTTTGTCTGTTTTTTTACCGTTGATTTCCTATTAATGAGATCTTCAACTCTCATTTACGTTGCGTAAGCCAAAAACCGCTTGAACTAAAATTCGAGTTTCAGGTCGTGCACTGTTAAGCCGAATCTTAGAAAAATCATAACTTCTTCATACGAAGTCAGATTTGGGCGTTCTTTTTATCAATGTTCTTAGTTTAACATATTCTACGATTTTTGTTTAGATTGCTAAGGCTAAAAAGTCTTCTATCGTAAATTCACTATTTACGTCTCCCGGTGTCGTGCCGGTTTTGCCGTAAAACTTCGGCGGGCCATAACTTCTTCGTTATAGCTCGGATTTCGGCATTCTTTATATGTACGGAAACCTTGAGACATATTCTACAACTTTATGTAGAGATATCGGGATTATCTCATACTTTAATTTTGACGCTCATTTTTATTCTTTATTAATTATACATTTATAATTAAATAATAAACACATAAACACACATAATTCACATAATACTCAAATATTTCATATTTATTACTTCAAAAAGAGTTATAATAGTTGACCTAGGCTATTACATTGACAAAAATGCTTAGCCCTGAAAACTCGGGCGTTACACATGTTGCACGGAGCGATGGTGGGAATGAACCTCCCCGACGTCCACAGAAGATCCCAACATCCTGTGAGTCATGTAAGTTAAAGTAACTTCTTATGATAAAATATGTCTTCATATTGAATATATTTTTAACATATTAACTTTTCAATTAATGTAGCAAAGCAAAAGAAAACTCGTATGAATGGACGAAACATAAATTTGGAACGAATGTTTGATAAAAACAAAGGGCCACTACCACTTGAAATTGAACTTACAGGAAAACAATTTAAGTTTTGTGGAGACAATTACCAAGTTTACATACGGTGTGTCTCAAATAGTGTTGCAAAATTTGTCCCTTTTTACTATCCAAGTTGGAAAGACGTCCCTGCAAAATTCAAAAACAAAGTTTATCTCGAAGTGCATGTAAGTATACAATATAATGTTTTATTTTTATTTAAATCTTATAATTTTTAGATGTGTAATAATCCTTTCTTTAGTAGAATTATTTTGATATTGAAGCTTTCCGAGACGCACCTTTCTGGAATCAAATGATTTAAGGAATCGACAGTGATTGTGCATCGTGTTACAAGTGTCGGAAAGGGAAGTTAAAGGAACATTTTGTTGCAGTGGGAGGCTATAAGGATGTAGACATCGTAAAGAGAAATCCCCCAGGGACACAGTCTGAAAAAGAGTGGGGAAAAGTTATCGACAAGCTTTACACAAATGAAAAATGGAAGGGAAAATCTGTAAAAAATAGTGAGAACAGAGGAAAACAACTTTATCCAAGTTCACATGGGAGTGAACCCTATTCCCAAAAACGGTTTAAGGAGGTAAGTTTATTTTTAGTATTATTTAAGGATTTATTAACAGTTATATGAAATCTTAATCATAGTTTTTTTTTTTCTAATTCTATATAGAGAAAAGTAACAGGAAAGGTGAATTATATTGAGGGTTGGAAGAAGAGTCACTATAAAGAAGGTCGTGGATGGTGCAACATGCGAGCACAACAAGATTGGGTAAGTAAAAAGTTTCTATGTTATTATGGTATTAAAAGTGGATTACCTATATTGCTTATATTTCTATTTAAAAATACATTAAATATGTCGAAAGTAGATTGCTATGATAGGTATGATGAAATTTTAGACTTATTGTTCTTATTAATTATAATTGGATAGGTTGGTTGTTTTCTTTATAGTCGTTATGCTGCCGATTTTTAGTTAAAAAAAACTAATGTATGTTTATTGTTTTTTTGTTGTAGGTTAAAATTGAAAATGAGTATAAGAAAATGTTGGATGAGGTTGGTGGTGATGAATCAAAAGTCAAACAGCTAGAATGTTTGGCTTGTGTACTTGGAGAAAGGAGAGGTCACACACGAGGTGTTGGTCGAAAAGTGAAAAATATAGCACCTTATAATATCTCGGCTCCTTCAACAAATAATGTAGACCTCAATGCATTTGCTCTTCAGTTGACTCAACAATTGACTCAACAATTTAATCAACAAATGCAACAAATGTTCATGTCTCAAAATCCAAACACCAAACCTCCACCGCCGGTTCAATTCAATATTGATCTCTCACAGATACAACTTCCGAACAGACAAGTGATATATAATGATGATACTCAAAGTGATGATGCTCAAAGTGATGATGCCCAAAGTGATGATGATCAAAGTACCGATTAGCAAACTTCTAGTGATTAAATTAGGTAGTATTTGTATTTCTATGAAACTTTTATACATTTCAAATGAATGTTTTGGTAAATGTTTTGAGATTGTATTATATTTTAATGTTTTGAGATTATATTGTATTTTAATATTTTGCAATTAAATTTACCGATTTAGCTATTTTGTAAATATACTTTTTTTTAAAATTTGGGAAATTATAGTGGTTAAAAGGAGCTATATGGATATATCTACAGAGATGACAAGGTCATACCTATAGAGACGACATATCATCTCTACAGATACCTATAGAGACGACATGTTGTTTTTATAGGCGTATCAATAGAGACGACATGTCGTCTCTACAGATACATCAACCATGACGAATCACCGTTGTTATAGGGTGAGTGCTGCCTAGTTTGCATCCATCTATGGAGACGATTAATTGTGTCTATTGGTACATCTATGAGGACGACATGTGTCTCCATAGGTTTATCTATGGAGGCGCCAAGTCGTCTCTATGGTTGTATTTGTGGAGACGACGGGTTGCTTTTATAGATAAATCTATAGAGACGACATGTGGTCCCTATAGCTTTACCAAAGGAGACCAGCAACCTATAGCGACAAATCAAAATAGGGCGACATATCGTCACCAAAGGCTACCTATCGCGACGAGTATTTTAGTGACGGCAATACAGATCTATTGCGACGGGGTTATAGAAACGAAAGTTATAGGGACGACATATCGCCCCAACCACATATGGGGATGATTTTTTGAACCTATAGAGACGACATTTGTCGTCCCTATACGTCTCGTTTGTTGTAGTGAATTTTTATAATTAAACTTTCAAAATTATGATCTAAAACATTCTTTTCAAATAAAATAAAATTTTAAATTTAGGATGATACAGTGAAAAAGACAATCAGTGATGTTTGTGTCCAAGAAATCCTATGGGTTTGTGTGTTCTAGAAACTTAGAGAGAGAAACTAGAGAGGAGAGGGAAACGAGAAGAGTAAAGTGTATTTTTGGATGGAAGGAGTTGCCGGAAAAATTATGTTGACAATAGATGCCATGGTCGTCAAGAACCGAATGAACCTCCAATAATCGGTCAACTTGATATTTTATGAACAAAAAAAAAAAGAGTTTAAATGTTTAATATTAAAAATATTAAAAAACTAACAAAAAAATACTTCAATATTGTGAATGAAGAAGATGCAAAATTCATTACCCTTGTTAAATTCCTAATAAGGCGTTACTTATAAACTACTATATAGCTTAATTTAGAACTAGAGATTCTTGTCATCTATTGTTTAGGTCTGGATTTTTGTCATATAACATTGTTATTATGTTATATTAAAAAAAAAATAAAAAAAAAATAAAAAAGATAACGTAATCAAAACCACAAACAAACAATTTCTCCACAAAATTAGGGTTTTCACTCGCTCCATTTTCCTAATATCATTTTCAAATGATCATTCTTTGATCCTCTCATGCTACCCCCAAACTGAAACCCTAAATCTGCATCAAAAATATCATAACAAAAACACCATTATTCCCATGGGGGGTTGCATGTCCATTGCCAACAAAAAACTAATCAAGAGGACCAAGAACAATGTCAAACCCATACACTCACACGATCATGATCATGATCATAAAACAACTAAACTACATGCCTCCTGCACAAACCTCCGGCGACCTCACGTAATCAGGGAATCCTCCGGTAACAATATATTCCGGTGGTATCGTTTTGGGGGAGAGCTTGGAAGAGGTGAGTTTGGGGTGACGTATGAATGTCAAGATAAGGTGAGCGGGGAGAAGGTTGCATGCAAGAAGATATCAAAGAGCAGGTTGAGGACAGAGGTTGACATTGAAGACGTAAGGAGGGAGGTTGAGATTATGAGACACTTGCCACCACACCCTAATATTGTGAGGTATAGAGATGTGTTCGAGGACAAAGAGGCTATTTATTTGGTAATGGAACTTTGCGAGGGAGGTGAATTGTTTGATAGGATCGTTAGAAAAGGTCATTATACCGAAAGAGCTGCTGCTCTTGTTACCAAAACCATCGTTGAAGTTGTTCAGGTTAATACATTTCTCTTAAATTCAGATAACGCGACAGATGTAGTTATAGCCAAAAATGAAGAAACGTATATGCATGGTTCATTTAATTTGAACTAGAAACAGAAACGACCCTCGTTCTAAAAAATGAGCCTTGAATGCGCTTTGACTTACACCAACAATTTCGACAAAAAACCGTCACAAAACATCTAGGGGTTTTCTATCGCAAAATTGAGATGTTCCATTTTCGAGACACATGAGTTTAGACCTTATTTACATACGCAATATAAGGCCCTTTTATTATTGTAAAAGAGGTCTCCATATACGTATTGTCGTTAAATAAAAACAGTTGTTAGGTTATGTATGCTTTTGTAGGTATGCCACAAGCATGGGGTAATACATAGAGATTTGAAACCGGAGAACTTCTTATACGCTAACCGAGGCGAAAACGCTCCCCTAAAAGCAATTGATTTTGGTCTTTCCATCTTCTTCAAACCTGGTAAGTCTTTAAAGTTGTCTTTGTTAGATTGGACATGACTTGATAGTAGTGGATTGGATTGGATTGGCTGGATTAATTGGACAATGACTACTTTTGATGGTGAACTTGAAGGGAATTTGCACATCAAAACAAATTACAATATCATGTATTGTCCTACATAATACCCGAGGCCTAAAAAACCTATCTAATGTTTGTTGTTTGTTAATTAAGTTATAAATTAATGTGTCATGTTTTGGTGCTAGAGCATCGGTTTAAGGAAATTGTGGGAAGTCCATATTACATGGCTCCAGAGGTTCTTAGACGGAATTATGGAGCAGAAGTTGATATTTGGAGTGCTGGGGTCATTCTATATATATTATTATGTGGAGTTCCTCCTTTTTGGGCAGGTAATTACAAATAATTTTTTTCAAGATAATATGTGGATCTTTTTGTTAAATATGAAAGTTGAGGGGTATACTTGCACAACTTCTTATATATGGAGGGGTTCGATGTAACTAGAACAGAAACCGAAGAAGGAATTGCACACGCGATCATAAAAGGCGATATAAATTTCCGTAGAGATCATTGGCCACTTGTCTCCGAGGATGCCAAAAATCTCGTCAAGGGCATGTTGGAACCTAGTCCACACAAACGTCTTAAAGTTGAACAAGTCCTTGGTATGTACCTTATGCTTTTAAATTTGTACATTTCACACTAGCACACTAAGTTTTAATAATTACTCACATGTCCATAGGAAGCAACTGGATACAAAATGCGGATAAGGCACCTAATATTCCTTTGGGAGAAAACGTTCGATCAAGAATACAACAGTTTTCTTTGATGAACAAGTTCAAAAAGAAAGTCATCCGTGTAAGTTATTTGACTATAGGATTATCGAGTTGACCTCAAAACTCAAAATACAAGACATTTTATTCGGTTTTCATCCAATTAAATCAGCTCGTAGCAGAAAATTTGCCAAACGAACAAATGGATGGATTGAAAAAGATGTTCAATGACATGGACAAAGACAAAAACGGTGCACTCACTTTCGAAGAGCTCAAAGATGGCCTAAGTTCAATCGGTGATCACCCCGTTGATGATCCTGATATTCAAATGTTCATGGAAGCTGTGAGTTATTGAAAAAGATGCATGTTGATTAGTCATTAGTCGTTAGATCAACTAATTTATGTGCATTTCTTGTTTGAAAGGCCGATCTTGATCAAAAAGGGGTGCTAAACTGCGAGGAGTTTCTAACGATTGTGGTGCATCTAAAAAAGATTAGCAACGAAGAACAACTCCGACAAGCATTCCGGCATTTTGACAAGAACCGAAATGGATACATCGAGTTTGATGAGTTGAAAGAATGTTTGTTCGATGGACACATGAATCCACACAACGAAAAAATGGTTCACGAAATTATAATCGATGCTGACCTAGATAAGGTTTGACTTCACAAGTCAAATGAATACATGCAAGATTTGACCTAAAAAATCTTATCGGTTCTTTTGTGATGTAGGATGGTCGGATTAGTTACCCGGAATTTGCGGCCATGATGACGACAGGAATGGATTGGAAGATGTCTTCTCGGCAGTATTCGAGAGCGAAGCTTCATGCAATAAGCATGAAGATGTTCAAAGATAATTCGATAAAATCAGGAGACTGAATGGGATACGTTTTTGGGTGGTAGATATTTGTAATTTGATGGAAAACGGCTTAAAACAAGCAAAACCTTTGACGAATCCGAAAACAACGATGCTATATCGATCGACTTGCACCTTCGTGCAATTAGAGTTGTACCTCAATGTGTAAAACCTTACCTGAGTTCGTAAGCTTTTAGTTGTTTTCTTGGGTTATCTCTCTATTTTGGACATGGGATCAATCATAATAACCTTCCGAGGTTTTTTATGAGCTAAATAATAAAGCACATCAAATGCCGAACACATCCCAAGTTCATTACAAAATATGCGATAAAATGAAACGATTTCTAAGAAAAAAAAAAGTATAGGTGGCTTATAGTAAAAAAAAAAAAAAAGTATTGCTCGACATGTTGTCACTGAGGTAGGTATTAGCCATATCTATACGCCTATTTTTAAAACTCTCCTACATTAAACTATATTTAGGTAATATGATCCAAAAAAAATATTGATGTTTATATTAGGTATATGTATGTCACTATGTGCATGTGTAGGAAAAAAATATGTGGCTGATAGATCGGGAGGAAATGTTGAAGTATGTTGAAGTTAGTAAAAGGTGATAATGAATTAAAAAGATAATATATTTTTAGATTTGTATATATTTAGTTATCGAGTTTTTTTCGTTTAAATTTACTCTTTCAATTTGTTTTAAGTATATACATATAGTTTTTATGATCAGTTACTTCAGGTAAACCAGAAAAATTGACTTAAAAATGTAATATATTTCTTATTTTATACCATTTAGTCCTTAATATTATTTTATACATTTAGTCTTTATAAGATATTCTTTTTCAGAATAAATCACTGTTGTTTTTGTACTCATTCAATACTTATAACCGATTTTTTTAGGTTTTTCTCACGACCGTTACGTGAGACAATCATTAATAAGGTGTTTGTGAATGTTCATGTTTATCGTCACTGTAGCCTCAGCTGCTTGGTTATTAAGTTCTTG